CCAGGCTCCCCAGGGCAGTGGGCACAGCCCCAAGGCTGCCAGAGCTGCAGGAGGGTTTGGCTGATCCTCTGGGGCACAGGGGGGGACTCTTGGGGCTGGGCCTGTGCAGGGCTGAGGGTTGGACTGGATGGTCCTTGGGGGTCCCTTCCAACTTGGCGTATTCTGGGATTCTCAGATTTGCCACCGTGATGTTCCCCTGCCGGTCACAAGATGGGTGTTATTTTAAATGTAAAGACTGTAGGGATTTATTCAACATGTGAGGAGCTGCAAGGATTTCATGTTTTCTTTTCCATCTCCCTTTCCCACCATCTCTCCCCGCTCCAGGTGCTGGTGGAATGAGCGTAGCGTGTGTTTTGAAGAGAAAAGCAGTTCTGTGGCAGGACTCGTTCAGCCCCCACCTGAAGCAGCACACTCAAGATACAGCTAATCCCAACATGCCTGTTGTACTGACATCTGGAACAGGGTCCCAGGCTCAGCCACAGCCAGCTGCAAACCAGGCCCTCGCAGCAGGGACACACTCCAGTCCTGTTCCGGGCTCCATAGGGGTGGCAGGCCGCTCCCAGGACGACGCCATGGTGGATTATTTCTTCCAGAGGCAGCACGGGGAGCAGCTCGGGGGAGGAGGGAGCGGCGGCGGCGGCTACAACAACAGCAAACACCGCTGGCCCACCGGGGACAACATCCACGCAGAGCACCAGGTACAGCACCAGCTCGGGGTCTGCAAGCTCACCTTGCACCCAGACCTGTTAGAGAGGCTTTTAAAGACACTTTTTTAAAGCTGGGTCTGGTTCTGGTGTGGTCGGAGCGGCGACGGACGGTCGTGCTTTTTGTTTTCTCGGCGTTGTGGTGCCTCAGTAGCTCTGAGCTGAAAGGTGTCTGCTCTCGAGGGTGTTGAAATCCCGGTCTGCTCTCTGTGACAGTCAAATGCATGTTTACAAAAGTCATCGGGCCCTTTATTGATTTTTGTGTTTTTTCTGATGTGTGAACCAGCATGGCCGTGGCTGCTGCTGCTGCTTTTCAAATCTGTTGCTGTAGTTAAATAATTCTTAAGTAATGGTATTACAAAACTGCCAATGCATGTAGGTTGGGCTTTTACACTTCCCAGTATTGGAAAACACAGTGGTGGAAGTTACTGGTGATGTGTTTTCCTGGGTTCCTTTGCTTTGGGGTTTTCTGGTTGTAATTGGGAGGGGAAGGTGCTGATGGTGTGCTAAGCTGAGCTGGGAAGAGAACAGCTTTAAGAATGTCACAAAACAGTGATTTTACAAATGCAGCGAGTTCTCAGAGCCACTTAAAGGGTGGTGGGCCAAGATGTGTCTGTAGTAGTGTTTACTAGAAGTCCTTTCAGTGCTTGCATTGTGAGTTGAGCTGGAGTTAAATGAGTGTATGACTCACTCCTCTTGCTGTCTGTGACCTGTAACTCACTCATCAAAGACAGGGATGTGCTTCCTCTCTGAGAGGCAGCAGAACCCGAGTGTAAGCACATTTTAAAAAAGAATGATCCCCACAAATATTGCCAGGGCAGCAGACACAGAGCTTTTGCAACCTTTATGAACATCTCCTGCCCCTTGTTTTTCAAATCAAAGCGGCCAAGCCCTTGCTCCTCTGCTGTGCCTCCCCGGGGGATGTGTTGCCAACCAGACCATTGAAAAGTAAACATTGCAGGGAATTTTGCAACCTCACTGAAGTCACTGTGTACATCAGCAAAGAAATAAACCCAAGTGCCCTGTTAATTTGTTCTGGAAGAAAAAAAAAATCACGTAAAATACTACAATAGGAACGAAGCAGCTAGAAAAATATTGTTGTTCCTTTATGTGGAAACGTAGTACTTTGGATATCACTTCCAAGGAAATAACTCTACTGAAACATGTAATTTTTGTTTACTATCCAAGTTTTCAGTCACTCCATGTAAAACTTGTTTCAAGAGACATCAGTGCAAGAGATCTTAAGGTGCCTTAAGTTGTGTAAGAAACAATAAGCAACAATTTCTTGCTGCAGGGCTGGAGCTTGTAGGTCTTTCAAATCGAAGCTGTCCTGCAGTCTGGGGTGAGGATGCCTGGGCAGGGACTGCTCCTGTGTGGGCATTTTGGGGAAAGGTGACTTCATGAATGAAAATGATGTCATAATTCTCAATCCTCTTTTCCTCCAGCTCACGCTTTCATCTTCCTTTCACTGAAAATCCCTGAAAGCAAAGATGGCAAAACTCACTGGAGATAAGGGGGGTGAGGGCGGGACACTCCAAGCCTGCACTCATTAAAAGCTCTGCTGGTATTTGAACTTGTATTTGTTTAATAATGAAAAGACTTAAACTTTGACTCAAACAGAAGAATCCTGCCTGTAGATGTGTTGTCAGTGTTTTGTTGCTCAGCTCGGTTTTCTTCAGTAACTTCCTGAATGAAATGATAGTTATAAATACATCACTTAATGAAAGGAAACTCATTAGCTTGTCTAGTTTAAATGAACTTCTAAAATGCAGTGCCTGTACTTTTTGGAGGCAGAACACTTGTGAGAAGGTTGTATGGGCAGAACACACCTGCAGGAGGGAGCTCACAAGGTTCTGGGTGATGCTTTCAGTGTTTCCCCCAGGGTGTTCTGTGAGCTGAGCTCAGGAAATAACCCCCCTAAGAGATTTAACGGGGCTTTATCTGTTCTGCTTCCTGGTGCTTTTTGGTGTTTATCACATGGTCCTGAGGGTTTGCACTCAGTGTTCATCTCTGAACCAGCCCTTGGGGTTAATGTCTCCAGAGTGAGCTCTGAGGTGGGGCACTAAGCCTGTCCTGATGTGATACCGTGTGCTCCAGTGACTGCTGGGCACTTTGATCTGGGCTCGTTGCTCCATCCCTTCCTGCTGCCTCTCTTTCCATGGTTCCCTGGTTGCCTTGGGGTTTTACTCAAATGTAGGATATACGTAATCTTAATACTGCCATACTTTTTGACTTTTTGGCCACCTCTACATCTACTTCTTAAATTAATAATTCCATGGAGCAAGGGCTGATCTTATGCATGCAAAGTGATTTAATTCAGTTTGGGCTTAGCTGGGGTGGAATTGAATTTGTCCTGTAAGAACAGAAGTGGAAGGAAGTGCTGGGACATGCAGGGAGGGAGGAGGTGAATCATTATGGATGGCTCTGCTGATCTCAGTTTCTTATGGATACACTTCTATTCCTGTACTTTTTATTTTAGACTTTCAAAGATAGTGCAGCGAGGGCCCAGCCTGGAAGACTGGTTGGGAAACTCAGTAGCTAAAAGATAATGGGAAGTCAGAAAAAAATAATTAGAGGCTAATATAGGTTAATGTCTGCCTGGAGCTTGGGAGGTGGTAATTAAAGGTAGAGGGATTTGAATTGTTGAATCCCAGTTTCTCCTTTGTTGCACATGCAGACAGCCATCTCTGTCTGTTGGTGATAATGCTCCGGTGAGTTTTCCCAAATGATAGCTTTTCACGGGGTTCCTAAACCCCAGGACTGCTGTGAGTCAGGACTCAGCCACGTTATCCTTGTTTTCCGTGTTTTTGTTGTGCCAGCTGTTCTTCCTGGTCACTTCTCATCCCGTGGAACTGAGCCGTGAGTGGCTTTAGCAGGGATGACTTCAGGAAAAGTTTATCTCCTCCCAAGGAAGTAGGTGGTGTCCTCTTGTTAGGAAAATGCTGGTTCTTTTTGTGTTTTACCTAGAAATTTTCATTTCCTGTTGCATTTTCCCCTTTTCCATAAGGTGTGCAGGGCCAAGTCTTTATATAAAATTAAGCAGTTAAAGATGCTCCTGTCATTTTACACATTTAGGTATCAAAGGTTCACCAGCCCCAGCAAATATTATAAACTCCAAATAAATAGCAAATATCATAAATAGTAAATATTATAAATTAGATATAGCCAAATAGCAAATATTATGAATTCCTCTTTGTCCCTTCAGACACTGAAATGATGGTGGAATCAGCCTTTTTTTTTTTTCTTTCCTAGCCCAGATTCTCAGAGCTCCTAAGCCACATCCCAGCTGTCTGCAGCTCCAAATCCTCAATCACCACATTTTACATGGAAGACACTTCCACCAGACTGCTAAATGTACCCTTCTCTTTTTATCCCCAAAAGCAGCAGGATGAGGTTGAGTGTCAGGGTCCAGCAGTAATTTTAATATTAAAATGAAGAGGTTGAGTGTGTCATTCACTGACAGTGCCTGATTGCTGTAGGGCAGACAGTTACCCTGGCTGCTCTGGGGTGTTTTTATGCTCTTTATCCAGGAAAAAACACGGACAGAGATCAGAACATCACGTAGGTAGAGGCACAGGATGGCTCCAGATGAGTAATGGGTTGGGTTTGTCTTGGCCATGAAAGGTTGCACAGATCCTACAACCCCAAACAGCTCCTGGGGGGAACAAAACCACAGTTGGGATATTCAGCCGGGACAAGGTATCAACACTGAGCAGGTTTTTTAGGAAAATTGGCTGGGCTCTCTTGGCTGGGGTCTCCTGTGGCTTGTGTGTTCTTGAACTGGAGTGAAGGCAGAGTTCCTGTGGTGGTGGTCCCTCTGGAATTGCAGTGAATGGATATACTTAGACTGTCTGGATTGCAGTTCGGGTAGTGTGGGAGTTGCTCAGTGGAAGCAAATGATTTTAGGCATTTGCTTTCTCTGAGAGCATGTTTAATTAATAACTGGAGACAATGGAACTCTGCAGGGATCGCCTTGTTGAATGTGGGGAATTTTTCACATGTAGTTGGTGAAGAATAGTGAGAGCAACAGGGCTGGGACTGGGGTTTATGCTCAGTTTTTTGCCTTTGGGCAATATGACCGTGCAAGTTCTTCACTGGGAGCTTGAATTCAAGTGGAGACAGAAGGTGATTCTCCTGGCAGGTTCTCTCAGCACAGCTATTCAAAATGCTGCTCCCTGCTCTGAGAGCATCTGCATTCGGGGATGTTTGACAATGTTGGGGGTCTCTTGGCAGGCACCATGACCAGGGTTTGCCTTAAAGTTGTGGCAAGGTCCTCTAAAAAGGTCCTGGAAGCCCTGGTGTTCGTTCTTCCAAAGGGAAATCCTGTTAAAGTGACAGTGAACTCTTGAGGACAGAGGTTTCACCCCATCCCTGGAAGTGTCCCAGGCCAGGTTGGACGGGGCTTGGAGCAACCTGGGTTAGTGGAAGGTGTCCCTGCCCATGGCAGGGGGTGGAAAGGGATGATCTTTTAATTTCCCTTCCAACCCAGACCATTCCATGATTTCTGACCTGTGGAAAGAGCATTTGAGGGCTGCTGTGCTCTGAATAATCGGGTTTGTTGTCTGAGCTGGAGTTGAAGCTGTGGAGTGAGTCCCTTGTCACATACACCGTGTGACAGCACATGTGGCTCGGCTCTCGAAGATGGCTTCTGGTGAAATGTTTCATTTCTGATGCATGTTTGGTTAAATCTGTTGAATTTTCCTGGGAAACTTCCTTGTATCCCAGTGAACTGGTCAAGGCTTTCCTTCTGCTGACCCTGAAGCCGATACTAACTCGATACCCGGGTAATTTAGAACATAATTCCTTGCTGAAATGAAATGTCTGGTTTGGCTGATTTGTTTCACAGAGACTTCTCCGTAGTAAAGGGGTATCTTGGGAGGGGAATTGGAACATTTAATTTAGTTTTCTGCTTTATATTGCCTTTTGAACATTCTTCCGGAGGTAGAAGGAGCACAAGTAGATTGGCTTAGCTGGACATTTGAGGTTGTGTGTTG